GCCCATTCCTCCCCCACTGAGGCCCGAAGATTGTGACCGCTCGGAGGCGGACCCAATCTCTATAGCATTGAGAGATGGAGAGAGTGAAATTTTACACCGCTGCATAACAATGATTGAATTAGAGAGTTCGAATCACACACTCAATCGGCTAAGAGGCTCAACTGTGCTCAAAATACTACTAGCACTTTCTTTAAAGTAGTATCTTCTAAGACATTATGCCAGAATCAGAGTACACGAAAAGAAGACGTGACAAGCGATTCCATTAGGATTAATAAGCAACAAGTTGTGTAAGGACTTCTCTTAAATCGTGTTCAATTAGGTTATAGCAAAGCTTAAACCGGAGGTTTTTTAGAAAAATGGTTAGGAGGTAAAGAAAGGCGAAGCAATGACTTATAATAAGTGGCCATATGATTGTGAAGATTAAAATAAATGACTGCCACAATGGACACACCCACAGCTGCTGGTTACGTGACAAAGGTACTTTGAAAAACCCAAGCATAACTAACTTGTCAAGTATATCTCATAATTGATACAATAAATTAAGATTAAATCCAATAAAGACGCATCACCTCTGGGTTTTCGGAATCATTTTCAAGTAGACCCAAATCCATTGTAACCACTATACGTGGCTTCCATTCGCCGTTTCAGCTGTTGAATGTGAAAAACTTCTCGGTTAATTGATTATTTTAGACCCACTGTCACTATTTGTGCTTACGTACCACGATAAGCCTCAAGTCATTTCATGAAATAATGTGTACACCCCTAAGGCCAACAAGAACGCTCGCTTGATATAATCAAGATAAATTTTAAAAAAAGCATTGATTGCCTTTAAAATGACTGCCTTAATTGAAAGGCGAAGATGTTAGCATAATACATCCGAGCATATATATTTCTATCGAGGTGGGAAAAATTTTGTGTACGCAAAGCTCCAAGTGCGGCAACCGTGACAATAACAATAATAATAATACCGAATACTTATCTATGCATAAAAAATAGTCAATCTCTTCTTGCACTACGCCTTTCCATGGAAAGGTGCAAATTGAACGCTGATGGAGTGTGGCTGATGAAGGGGGGGGGGGGGAGAAGAATTGGGACAAGAGGACGAGTGGGGGAAAGTGAAGGTGGATGGATGGCAGCACAACACATAATACAAATTCAGACGAACGAGTAGAGAAAATCAAATAGCTGGGGCCTAATTAACCTCTACCCTTCATTCTTCCCCATATATTCCCTAATCATATATATGACATAAACACGACTGACTGAAATTGATGGATGCTTGACTTGTCAGCTCATTACTACTAGAAAGGCAAATGCTTACCTTAGAACCAGCCACATATTCACCGGATGCTGATACGGCGCCTTGTCTAAAAGGTAACAAAGAAAAACATGTTAAAGGAGAAACTTAAGGTAGAGTAGCGGTTGTACAAAGCAAAACTATGATATCCAAGGCCTTGTATTCTGGGCAGCGAATACTTGGACGAGACTAACTCACTGGACTTTGCGACTTTCCTTCACATCCACTCGCAATTCACACATGTACCAATTACATTGCAAATATCTCAGTGACTGTTTTAGTAATAACCTTGTGGTGTAAAACTATTCAAATTATTTATCAATTTTTTTGCCTTCAACCTTCCCCACATTGTGCCCTTGTAATGAGCACATTTGCAGCTCAGGAAAAGCAAAAAATGGCATTACCCCCCCCCCCCCTCCAANNNNTTCCCCCCCCCCCCCCTCCAATACAAGTGTTTAAAAGACAACTTCCTTAACCTTCCTAGTTAGTGGAAATCAATACAGAAATGGTCTTGTACAAAATCTGCTTATAAATAGATCATATCGAGAACTCGATGTGGACGAATCGAGTGTACGAGCACGTTGGCTTAGCCTCTTGGTGCGCGTTAAATGATTCAGAATACTAGCAATTACGATGATGAAAATCCGATTATTTCAATGAGAGACCACAAGATCCTTTCTAAGCACGCATAGCAATTCGAATTAATTAGCAACTCTAAACCAAGCATTGTTATATAATTAACATAACTCGAAGATCAAGGTTTTCTTTTACCTTTTTTAACCAACACAAAACTTTTAGCAGATGTATTTCACAAGTCATCAATTTAATTCCACCCAAGTATGCCAATCTCCAACTCGACTCAAAAGCGCCCCGCCCCCTTTCCCACCACCACCGACCGATAACTAGATTACATCCCGAGCCAGCTTTTTAACCCGCCTACTACTAGTGTAAATTCCGCATTTTCCCCACAAAGAGGGAAAAATGAAGTGGGGGGGGGGGAGGGAAGGGGGAAGAAAAAGACTGGGAATGATCCCACACGATGATCTGCAACTATTGATCTCTCTTGCAGCAGCAGTTTTAAGCAGACCAGCCATTCAGTCTTTGCTTGCATTTTCATTGGTTGGGTAAATTTGAGTAGAGTTTAGTGGGTTTAGGGGGGAGTGGGAGGTGGGGGGGAGGGATAGAAGGGCGGTAAAGGTGAGGAGTGAGCATAGCAACCCACTTTCCACAGTAGAGGGAGAGGGAGAGATGTGATACGGACACACTCGAGTGAGCATGCAGAGGGTCTAGAAATAGAACTATGCTTTTAGAGCAGAGCAGGCGATACTGGGAGAGAGAGAGAGAGAGAGAGAGAGAGAGTGAATGAGTGAGGTGTGTACGCCTGCCACGGCTGCAGTTTTGCGAAAGTGATTGGATGGATAAAGGCATGTATATGCTGCACGAGACTAGCGCCTTATGCCTCTCAGATAAAAACGCAAATTAAAAGCCGACTTCAAAAAAAAAATTATATACTCAAGTTCATTAAAATGTGCATAATTTCAAGAAAGGAAAAGCGCTAGGTAAACTCGTTAATTTAAGTTGGGAAACGACAAGAATACTCTCCATAAATGGAATTAGCAACATACACATCTACTTCGTCAGCTGAAATGGAGTTAAGACCTCATATGTTTATCAAAATGGCCAACCCATTGCTTAATACAGATCACCAAAGGAATATTCAAACAGGGTTTCCCAGTCTACCAACAGTACGCAATCCTTGACTTCTAAAAAGATTATGCTACTGTTCTCCAAAGTTAGAATCAGTTACTATTATTCATAGGAAGGGAAAGATTAGTCCCGATCGTATAGATTCTTCCTCATTTCCAATCCATCGATTATCTAAACCTAAAAAATATTGGCTTAGGAAAAGTTGGACTTAAGTTAAGACGAAAAGCACCACAAATCAAAATGGATCCGATGACGCATTAGGAATAATAGCCTTGGAAACGAGAGAACCTATTCGACCAGACCCAACTTTCACTTCTACGGTTGTTTGAGTCAAGAACTATCTGTATGAAGGAATCATAATTTTACTTCATTTACCAACATCAGTATGGATTAAGAAGGCATTTATGAAAACCCACTGAATGTATAACAATCTTATTTTTAAATATGATGAAAAAATTAGCCCAAAAAGAAACTTATCAGAATTATTATGGATTCAAGTGACACAACTGGCTAATATCAAAGTCTTTTATGGAAGATAAATGTTCTAAAATATCGGGTGTGCGATAGACTTACCTCCACGTGGTGCACCCTGGGCAACGTATACTCCTACGATAAAGAAGTCTATAATCTGGCAGTTGACTTCAAACTACCATGACTCGACACTACTGTAATATTCGACCACTTTCACAGTACTCACCTTACCTTTTTTCTACCTTTGTGTCTGTCTCTTTTACATCTTTGAAACACTCTTCTACTCCACCCTGCCCCCGTCTCGACTTTTTTCACTCTGTTGTTCCTTCCCCTCTGTGGAGCCTGAAGTCCACTAAAGGGCTAATGATAACCATCAAAACGCCTGTCATTTGATATAAACAAATAAATATATGTTCCAAAATAGGCTCGAAAATTCCTACCCCTGATGATTCCTTCTTGTTCACGTTTCACGAAGAGAAATTAAATAATTTGGCAGTAGAAGCTAAGTTGGAAGTCGGCAAGATCAAAAGGAGCCGAAAAATGTTTTACAGACGCAGGAAACAAAGTCCAAGCCAGCACAATTGCCAGCTCTTTGGAATCGGGAACCCATAACAGACAATGTATTGCGTTTATTTAAGCTTATGACTAGGCTTGCAGGGGAAGTAACGCCCACTATAGCGACAATAAATGAGTCACAGAGGAAGGGCTATAACTCAACCACTGTGACCAACACAAAGGACATTGCGCGTGAATACATGCGTACTGGTTCCGAACATGCTGTTTGACTAATGAGACAGTGCAGAATTCAGACACACCATCTAGAAAGGTTTAAAAGATAGGAAATACCCATTTAGAAAATCATTCCACCATCAATCTTGGCTGGGGAATTAGAGTCATGGAGACTTTATATAGAGAAACTCTGATGTTGGCACCTCTTCTACTTGTTAGTGATAGTAAGACCGATTCACCATCGGGTGCTTCAAGTACGCGTCCGTCACAACTTAAGTTGAAGGAGAAAGCTTTACTATTCAGAAATAAAATCTTCAAATGCCAATACCACTAGTTTCCAATATGAGTAGAACTTGCAGGTCATATATTCCCCCCCCCCTCGCCCTTGTTTAACTCATACCTTTGACACAAACCCTTCTTCGAGTAGATAATCATAACAAGAATTAAGATTCTGGTAAGACGGTATTCACTCTTTCTCATGAGTAGAACACGGTTTAGGCGATAAACAATCAATATGATGCTTAAAAGGATAGAACCCAAAAAATTCCAAGACCACCCTGAAATTAGGATAAACTTTAAGATAGCTTCCATCCAGTAGAAAGCTAATGTAAAGAAGTGATCTGCGGAAACTATTTTTATTTCATCATAATTCCATGCTGGTCTCACTGTGTATACTTAACTCGATACTCATTGGCTTATTGAAATATAACAGCAAATTGATTTCATTTTAAGTAAATGAAATCAATTTGCATTCTCAACGAAACATTATTTCTGCAATCTAAAGAGAATCTTTGACTCACTTTCCATGTCCTGCCATTTTTGCGCCATTGGCACCATCTGCAGCATTTACAGCTGCATTTCTAGTGCGAATTGCATTGGAGGTGTACTTCTGTCGACGCCGAAGGTAAACCATTAAGAGAATGATTATGATAGCACAGACCAGAATGACCAGACAGATTCCCACCACGATTCCAATGCTGCTATAGGAGATGGCTATTGGGGAAAAAAGACAAAAAGGCGAAAGGCATTAAGAGGGTTTTGCGCTTGGCCAAAACACACTTCTCTGATTGAGTGATTGTAATCAGAGCTATTGATAGGTCAAATAGGCCAAAAATGAGGCTATTCTCCAATTCTGTTTGATATTCTAACTCAGTAACCAACCGTTCTTGTGTACTTTAAGTACACATAGGCGTTTAATAAAAGCAAATTAGAGGTGTCCTCTTGATGTATGCCTGCTCAGAAAGTCCTAATGGGATTCGATTAAGGCAATGTCTAATAGCCCCCGCCGTTTCAAAATTGTAGACAAGTGCTTGTTACAGATTGGAATTAATTAGTCCAGAGGTTCTAACCACCTGCTCAATAAAGCACTCAGCCCATTTAGTAACTACTAACCGAATGCCGGTTAAGAAACAGTCTTGAAATAAAAGAGTAGATCCCCCGGTTCGATTTCACTTTCATACTGAACCACACACACAACTGAGTGCAACTGGATAAGGAGCACACTCTCTATCCCCTTTCCATGGATCGTCGTCGTCGGTTAACTCAGCCCAATGTCTTTTGCTTTAACAAAATGTGGTACATTATGACTTTGGCATACACTTAATTCCCGGACGGGATCAAATACGATTCCTGTGTGCTCCCCTCGATGTTACACTTCCATGATCTACGAACGACTGTATATGCACGCTATGAAAGAATCGAAAAAAAATTCTGATTCAAAATTTTTCGATAATGTCAGATAAAAAATCACGGCAATAATAATCATTAGGGGGTAAAATGCGCACAGAAGATAAAGTAGTTGAATTTATAACCTCGCTTTAATAGTGTCAAAAATCAAGGAGCCTTGCCAAACAAAATTTAAACAAAAAAGCGAAACGAAATTGTGAGGGCAAACAGGTGGTGAACCAGAACTTACCATCTTCACCTGAAAACACAGAAGAAAATTAAGCTATTTGCCTCTCCCTCTGAGAAGGTAAAATGGTAAAAACATAGAATTGCACCAAACATCTTTTCGAAACGCAAATATGTTTTCAAATTCACTGGAAATCATTAAAACTTTATTAATCGTCATCACAGTTTTACTGCACCTAAAGTTGTATTGGCAGGTATATGTAAACCCGTTTAATCAGCACCCACCAAACTAGGTGCAATTGAATTTAGTTACCCCAGAATTCAAATACATATTCGTTGAAGAAGTCAAATCAAATCAAATCTCTCTCCGATACACCCGACTGGCCAGGAATCGAAGCTGTTGCTGAGTTTAGACTACGTACCGGACACGATTGCTTGGCAAAACATCACAGATTGGGAGTATACACTCAACTCATATGCCCTCTATGTAACCTACATGAGGAAATGAAGAAGACCCACCTGATTCGATGTCCAGCTCTAAAGACAAGGACGGAAAGCCAGATATACTGGGAAGCAAGAAGACGGCTAATGAACTGCTATTAATTAACTGCTATAAATGTACCCCCCTCCCTTGGGGGAAGCTGAAGTCAAAGTTTAAGAGCTAATGATAAATATCACAAAGCCTGCCATTTGAAAAAATAATAATATTCGTTGACGATCACTTTGAAACGACAACGCGTGGATGCTATCATAATTTTTTGTTAATAATAATAATAATGACTAATAAAGCAGCAGAAGAATGTTGTGGACTTGACAACTACGCAAAACTTATTAGCAATAAAATCTCAATTAAATTCAAAAAAACAAACAGAAATGTTTATGTTATTGACGTAAATCAAAGCGCCACGGTGTATGCAAAGGATTATATTGTTATTATTATTAGTGTCAAATGGAAAATAATTTATCCAGTCCAAATCTGTGTATTCTTCAGAGTTGAGCTTCGACAGAACCTGACAGGCCAGCAAATGCCTCAGGTCGCAAAGAGGGCAAATAGGTAAGAGGGCCAATGATTAAATCGCCGCATCAATATTTCAATAATATGGTGAGTGCCAATGTTAAGTACTATGTGAAAAATTTGAAATACACTTGACCTGATATTGACAAATTTTATTTTCAGCCTCTCATGAAAAAAAATAGAGTGTAATTACCCAATCTCCACATCAACAAGTTCAATCCACACCATTAATACTGATTATTTTGTTACCAAACGGACCACTTACCAGCAACAGTGAATCTAACTGTAGCAATAGTCTTATTGTATCCCAGAAAATCGACTGCATTTGGAAGAGCGTTTCCCGCAGTGCAGATGAGCATAAGTTCCACTCCGGGAGTAGCATTATAGGCTAGAGTGAACCGTGGTCCACGAATTGTGTACTCATCGGGTCGTAGGCCAATTCTTGTGGCCGCGGCAATGTCGGATGTGTCGACGATTTGTTCTAGTGGAGGTAATGGCGATGTGGTCGCTATGTACTCTCTTGGATCGATAATTGGACGATGGGAAAACTGATGCATGGGCTGACGCAATGAGAGGACAATAGAGGGTTCAGGAAAACCGTCGGCGTAGCAAGTCATTGAGGAACCAACTCGCATCAAACCGTCCGTAGGAAGAGGAAGAATATGTGCCACCGTTGTTTGATCTAAAATTTCAAAATGTAAGAACGGTAAAAATAGTTTTATTTATTCATTTATATCAAATGGCAGGTGTTTTGATAGTTATCATTAGCTCTTTAGTTAAATTCAGGCTTCACAGAGGGGAAGGAACATCAAAGTGAAAAAAACCTCGATTTAATAAACACATAATACAGAAGAACCAATCAAGGCATAGGAAGTTGCCACCTCTCAGTACATAATTCCGCAGAATCCATTATTCGAACCCCCCCCCCCCCCCCTCCTTCAACAGTTTAACTGAAATCCTTGAAATTTTAACTGGGGGTGCGGCTGTTAACTTACTCGCCTGCGAAATCAGAGACCGCAACTTCAATGTCCATCGGCCCATACGCAGTGAGTGGAATGACCAATCATACCACCTAGAGCGGTTTATAATATGCCTATTTTCAATGATATAGTTAGAGGGCCGTCTTTTATCCAGGCGATCAGTGCCATTAAATTATAACTTGAGACATTCATACATAAAGTGGCATTACTCTTCAGGGACCCAAAGAGGAAAACCAAAGGAGATACGAAAAGAGAAAAGCTAATCAGCATGGAAGTGAAATAGGAAGAGACCCACTATTTTCTTAATATTTATTTATATCAAATGGCAGGCTTTATGATATTTATCATTAGCCCAAAAATTTTCTTAACATTGATGGCGACTAAATCAAGGATGCGAAGAACACAAAACGGTCTTAGGAAATAATTGAGTCCAACCTTTAATTAACGCTTACCGGACACAATTGCATGGCGAAGCTACTTCACGGAATTGGAGCATACCCTCAACCAACATGTCCCCTATGTAACCTACAGGAGGAAATGGAGAAGACCCACTTGATTCCCTGTCCAGCCCTAAAGACAACGACAGAAACCCAGAGATATTTGGAAGCCAGAAGTCACCTTATGAACTGCTATTAATATGTATATATGTTCCAGCCCCCCCCCCTCCCCCACCCCTTGTGAAGGCCGAAGTCAACAAAGGGGTTATTAATAAATATCATAAAGCCGACCCCTTGATATAATAAGTATTATTATTACTATTTTCTATCAGGTGATTTTAAGGTGTTTCTCAGCGCTCACTGTTAGTAAATGGTGGCAATATGCAACCTACGCTAAACAAACGGGGTTTAAACAGCCCAATATACAACTCGACTCACTAGGTAGGTACCAATGCAAGCCGAGCACGTGACCTCTGATTTCACAAACAGACAATTTAACCGTGGATAGAAAATTACGAAACTCATAAGAAACGTGTTCAACTCTCAGCAGGTATTCTGAAAATGCATTCACTCCACTAACCGTGAATTCTTATTTCACAGACGAGCACTAAAACTGCAAACTCCCAGGTCCCATTCGCAAATATTTGTGAATGAGTCGTTGAAAGAGTGTCGATAGAATTCATATCCTAGAAATTGAGACGTAACTAATTAGAGAAGCCTCGTAATTAACACTTTTCAATGATAAATTTGATTTCGTGTCAATGATACGTTGCATTGCAACAGTGATTCAGCCTTGTAAATACTAGCCTATTTCTATGCCAAATAAAAAATCAAAAAATTAAAGAAAAACCATTCATGAGAAATCGCAACGTCCTTAGCCGAAAAGGTTAGAAATATGATCAGTTAAGATAAATGAATTTCACCGTGTTCAGGTTTAATTATATGCTTGATTGTATAAAAGATCCAGGTCAATAGATATGAGATTTGAGGTCGTTAGAATGATTAGCTGCTACGAGAGATACAAAATTTAAGTTCATCAATAATTCAATCATCTTTTCGAAATTATAGTACCAGAAGCTTGTATCCAAGTGTACGCCAGCGGAGCAATGATTAAGGTGGACATGCATCCAATTAAGGAACACGAGAATAAGCCTCCACCTCCTCCTCCTCGATGCTCCTCCATTAGCTAATTCCGAGTTATCGAATACGAGTTTCTCATAAGGAAATTTCTTGGATATCTTCACACTCAATCCAAATTAAGCACTGTGACCACTTTCTATAATGGGATTGGGATATTTTTCTTCCTCTTCAAGAAAAGCCCGGCAATGAATAGCAGGTGTTGCACTCTAACAGAACCAATATATGACAAATTGTTTGATCACTGTTCACATTAACCAAGATAGCCACCCTGCCCTCCCCCCCCCCCCCCCCCCCCCCCCCCCCAACAAGCACGTGCATATCCGGTCAACAGCATACTTAAATAAGCACGGTACTTCAAAGAATAGGGGCGTAGGAAGCCAAAATTTCAATATCTAGGCGTGTTGTAATACGTCGAGGTGGTCATTCAATAAAAGCGTTCTCTACGGCACATACGAAGGGCTCGAGAGGCGGAAAATTGATTAATAAGTACTCGCCAGTAAAGAGAGAGAGTGAGGCTCTAAAATCTTAAGCGTTTGACTACAATGGATGTTGGAGTGTACCAACCTACAATGGTGCTAGGAATCATCATCATAAAGATACAAAAGGCCATCAAAGCCTGACATGTGTCACGAGAAATCAGCTTGACAATTTGAAATGGCGATAAACCATGTAGCGATAGAAAACGGATAGAAGTACAATGAAATGCAAAGGTAAACACCAAATCCAAACGCCTTAAACAATGATGCGGATGTGGCTAGCCACAATGGCTAACTCTACTCATCAAGAAGAAGTGAGTTTCCTACTCTAATTCACCTCCAGAATAGCGGAATCCTAACCAAGTGCTGTTAACACTTCTCCCAATGGACTTAGAATTTCATTTTTTCTATCTTTGAACTTAACACTAATCGATGGAAATTAATTATGACCTCTAATAGCTCATTCGCAGCAATGAAGCAACGTATGCTGTTGTCTTCAACCGATTTCAGGTCATATTACAAAAATGGAAATATTTGAAGAAAAAAAACAAAGAGCACAAGAGAGGGGGAGAATAAACATCAACACGTAATATAGGATTAAGACAGGAAAACTTTTGAAGGCGAAAAAATACACAAGAGAAAGGCAAAGCTGATAAACAATAGGTTAGGGAAAAAAGCGCATTCTTCATAAATTATATACCTCCACTACATTGTGTGGACAGAATGGAGTGAATAAGGAGATTTCGTCATAAAACACTGGAAACACAGTAAGGAGAAAATGAATAGAGGGGGACATGAAAATGCTGGCTCTGAAAACATCAAAGGAGCAGTTAAAAGAAAGAACATCAATCATTTTCGTTATAAGGAAACATGTCATGCCGTATATTAAGTTAATCTCATTAAAACCTGGTGCAAAATTATCCCACAATAAATAAATGGTCAATGCGAATATAATGGTAGAAGTGTTGTCCACATCCATTAATCATTTATACGTATGGCAACCAATATAAGATAATTACATTATAGCAGAAGAATGGAAACCCTTATTCGTGAAAATCTACCCTACAGCCTATAAAACGTGGTCTCGATTTTGAGTTTGACGTCAACAAATACTGCATAGAGATAAGGCTAATTAAAACAACCAAAACTCAAAAAGTCTATCATTTTCGGTCTCTAGTCAAATAAATCTATTATTCAGCAGTTGCATATACTTCCTTACCAAATTTGTACACTTAACATGAATATAACCTTCTTCATGGTAAATTGAGGTAACACTATTACTCAATTTTAACTTAATTCCCTTGAGAAAATAAAACGACCTCGTTAGTCTCATTTCCTCGATCAGGTGGAGGATAGAAATGGATCGAAAGTGATATAACCAATCACTCAAACAAATGAGCCGTTCAAGAAACTCTAAGAGCAATGCGGATAGAGATTCGTCAAAAAATTTAAGGATCCAATCATTCTAAATGAGTTTTCAAACCGGATAGTACAAAGTGGATCACATCCCCTTGTAAAAAAGTGCACAACTCATAGCTTTCTAAATTCCTATAAAAAGACTAACTCTTAACATTCTAAGTAATAAATGACACAGATCTGTTTAAAGCAACCATCCTTCTAATCGCTTGCAAAATCGATTCGAATGTACAAATGTTACCCTAACACAACAACCGAAACGTAACTAAATTCCTTCCAAACGTCTTCTTGTAAGTCTTCTTTTCACAAAATAACCAATTAACAACTTGATACAGCCAAAAAATAACCTTATCGAATGATGGATACTTCACTGACAAGATGAAATTTTGGCCCAATATTACCATCCCAATGTAACGTAAAGTGATACAAAAAAGCGGGACTACACTTACAATAGACAGTCAGACGATATTCTCTTTCCTTGCCCATAAGACGACAGTAAAGTGAACAGTCGTGGGCCTTCGAATTGATAGGCAACGTGGCCGAAAGGGTAAGATTGTCGTGCGAACGAGCGATTCGCGACTCCTGCATAATACTCTGCGCGTAGCCAATCGCAATACGTTCGGCTAACTCTTCATCGGTAGGCGGGGAGCGGAAATTGAAGTACCTGAAGGCCACCTCATAGGGAAAACCCAACTGAGCCTTTGCTTGACGCTCTTGTTCAACGGCCGCGCGTGGAGGATTGTTGCAGACAATGTCGAAGGTGATGGGCTGTGGTGGCAGAGCACCGTCTGTGATACACTCCACTTTGGCCATAGACCCATCTAAGAAAACTGGCGGAGATAAATTTAGATCTCTTGGAGCCAGGTCAACGTATTCGGGCGCGCGATCGAGAGTGACTTTGATATCAAGAAACTTTGGCTGTTTTATCAACTAAAGGATAGAATAAAAAAGAAATGCTTAGTCAATATCAACTGAATAATTTCAAATCCACGTTAACGTTTGAAATGTTAAAGAGAGGGGCCACTTTGTAACCAACTTTAATAAGCAAATATGGTTTGTAACTACCAATGAATGTGCACTGATGAGGGTTGATCTTATGACCACTGAATGGGCAGATGGGCACAATGGACGCTGAACCACTGGCATATCTAATACGATTTCCCATTTCCTCATGAATTAAGAGATAAAGCTACTACACACCACTCATCTTCAGATATATGATTTTTTCAAATATAACTCCTTTTTTAAACAATAAGGAATTCAGCCTAAGTGATTATAGCCTTGAGTAAGAAACACTAAATGGACAGATAGTTTAGCACACATGGAAGAGAAAATATATCGAGTGACGAATCAATATACAGGGGGTAGATAAATAGGAAAACACCACAAGAGCAATTATCAATAAGCTATGATCTTTCCACAAAATATTCATAAACGAAGTGTAAAAGAGACTAACTTGCACCAACACAGAAATTTGGAGTATCACCTCTAAAACATTAATTTCAGCAAGAAATGGAAACAATGACACGAGCGTTAATAGTTGCGCCAATTCCTAAATTTAAAACAGTCGGATCAACAATGAGTGTAGGCTTACCACCGAAACCAAATGAATATGATTCAAAACCACTTTTAAAAACCAGCATCTACTTCAATCGTCACTTAATTATCTTCAAGACTGAATTCCGATCCGATGAATCACATAAATATATCAAGTTCATGAAGAACTTGAGAAGTGAACATAAACTTCAACCAGATCTGAGTGGATACTCATGAACTAATAAGTGGAAAAGTCGTTTTGGTTTTTACTTATTATCATCATACGTACATAACAAGCTATTCATTGCAATAAACTAGATCTAAAAATTAAAAATGAATAATCAACAGAAGACCTTAAAGAAGACTCTATACATAACCATGAAACCATAAAATGAATAGGCAACGAAGGACTCTGATGAAACTGGCAATCCATTACTTGAATTAGATTAAAGTAAGATGATCAGAGAGAACGCGCAATTCAAGTAAATCATAATTAGAAAGAAAACGGGTAATAAAATTATCTCCTCTCAACAATAAATAAAAAAATGGGAATAAAACGAGATTAAGATATCAAAATTGAAAATAACGGATAATCTAAAGTTACCTTTCAGAAGTTAGAGAGATATATTTCAATCAAAATTTGATATATAAAAACAAGCAGACAGAAAAACATCAAATAAAATTAAGGAGAAATGTTTTGGGAGACATACTTGAATTGTTGTATTGAGAAGAATTTGGCCAGTTCCAGAAAATGATGCCTTAATATCAGGAAAAAATATTATTCGAATATTTTGGCCAAAATGCTCGCGTGTTGGTGTAAAGGTAAATGTCAAGAAAGGCCCATTTCCTTCTTCACAAGAAGTCAGTCCAAGATCTCTTTTATCTAAATAAGACACGCAGCTCGGATTCCAAGAACCGATGATGACTTCATTGAGGTATATCATTGTGCCACTATGCTCGTTATACGAGTTTCCAGCTGCTGGCGATAAGCGCCAACGAAGCGGACTGTCAAGTTCAATTGGAAATGGTGTTAATTGTTCTAGGTAAACTCTACTTATGTAAGCTAAAAAAAGAGATAAATAGTATTTTATAGACATTACCAGAAGATGCAAAACCAAAACTGAGTAGGCAAATCCACAAAAGTCGCCCAAACATCATACAAGAAATAACCACATACGGAAAGTGCGCTTAATTTTCATGAAAGACGTTGACACATTCAAACACTTTTATCAGGTTAACAGCATATTGACATATTTGCAAAATATTTCAATTTATCACTATTTTTAGAAATTCTTATTTTTTATGATTTAAATTGTGTCGTTATCGAATAAGTTTACTATAAATATGGTTAAGTCAATTTTCTTGCGTATTTGATCACAATTCTTCAATATATGCGTGAATCTTAAAATCTCGTTTGAAGCAGAATTTCGGCCAATATCTTTACTTCATTTTCTAAGAAAATAACTCTCGGGAGCGTTTCCTTTCTCAGAAACAGTGTTTTGCCTTGAATTTAGCTTACCGATTTATGACATATCCTTATATATAGCTTTTTTACTGAACTTATTATGTTGACGCTTTTGCATTTTTATTTTACTTCGTTTGCCTCTGAATTTGAGTCAGTGTTTGTCAGTGTCAATTCAGTATGCAAATTGGTAAAACTGCTGGAATAAACTTCCCAATGTTTCCCACGTAATAAAGTTCGCTTACAAGGAAATGTGTCAAAATGTAATCTCGGATAGCATTCATGAATATTATTTTTCATATTCAATTGTATTAAATCATTAGTGTATTAATTGAGTTTAAATTTCAAACGGAATAATAGTGGACTAAGGCCACCTTCCAAACTGCATCAAATTAAATTCCAGTTACTGTTTTCCCAACTATTGAAATGTCATTTTCAATAAAATTATCACAAATTTATTTTGACTAGGATACGATTTTCTGTAGAATATATATATATTTATTTATTTCAAATGGCAGGCGTTATGATAGGTATCATTAGCCCTTTAGTTGACTTCGGGCTTCACAGAAAGGAAGATGAACATCAAAGTGGCAAAAAGTGGAGAGGGGGAAAAGAAGAGTGATTCACAGACGTAAAAGAGACAGACAGACACAAAGGTAGAAAAAGGGTGAGGTGAATACTGTAGAATTATTCGAATATGACATACAGTGGGGTCATGGTAGTTTGAAGTCAGAAGTTCACTGCCGATTAATAGACTTTTTTGCCGTATGAATATACGTTGCCCAGGGTGCACCACGTGGAGGTAAGTCTACCGCACACCCCTATATATATATATATATTGCAACCAATGGATTATTATTATCCGCTAAGAGGACATATTATTTTAATAAGAATCAGTTTCTAACGTCCTTATTCACAATAACAAGGTACAGACTTTGAAAGCTTTTTCGTACTCTTTATTTCCTACAGGCCACGGTATGATTACTACACCGCACTCAATGTATAAATGTATTGTGCATTAATGATCGTGTATCAAAATTGATATTGGTGGGATTATCATTTCAGGATCAAATGAAAATTGTCAAAGATTCGACATCACATAACCCGGGTAAGAGGAAACATGCATCTCCTCTCCCTCTAGTTGCTAATGGTTAATCAGAGCGTACCAGTGGTCCCCTGAAGATAAATCACTGGTAGTTTAATTACAACTGCCTGAAACTCTTACCTATATTTATTTATTTCAAATGGCAGGCTTTTGATAGTTATCATTAGCCCTTTAGCTGACTTCGGGCTTCACAGGGGGAAGGAACATCAAATTAACAGAAAGTCGAGGGGTGGGAAACGGAAGAGTGATTTACAGTTGTATGGAGACAGACACGAAGGCAGAGATAAGGCAGGATGAGTAATGCAGAAGTGGTAGAATATGGCATACAGTTGGGCCATTGTAGTTTTAAGCCAGAAGTTAATCGCCAGTTATTTGACTTTTTGCCGTGAGTATACGTTACCCAGGTTGCACCACGTGGAGGTAAGTCTACCACGCACCCCACTCTTACCTATATAGTAGTAGAGGGACGTGGATCACGTAAAGATCCCAAGGTCAATCAAGGGAATCTCACGCAAGGTATAGTGCGCTGAAACATGCGGAAGTGTGATTAATTGCGAAATGGGAGGCAAGCGTGGTCGCTTTAGAAGAGGCCTCTCAGAATTCAACAACCGCAGCACGTACTGTAGTACTAACTGTAGTTAGTGACTAAGCTGTATGAAAGTTCACCATATCTACGGTACATGTTCATTTAGTCTACAAGTTCTGTGTACTCGCTGATGTTAATTTGAAAATTGAGAGCAATTCTACACTCGAGGACTTTACCCTTATGGTATTGATAAGCATCCAGTTGTATTTGCTATAAGATGGCCGAGTTTTACTTAAAAGGCTGTTTGTGTAGTATCGGCTGCGTGTGCTTGATAATTACTAAGTCAACAGACGACTGAACAGAAGTTCTTCCTAGAATTCCAAGGCAGCGAATACATCGATGCTTCTAATTTTTCAATTTTTTCACATCTCACGATTCTCAAGTCATTGTTTAACGCCTATTGGCATCACTCTATGCAATTTCGTCAATACAACCAAACAAGCAACTTCGGTTTTTAACTTCCCTTCTACCACAAGATAAATTCGCAATTTGCATTCGTGAAATGGGGCATCACCTGGCACCTGATTACGGGGTAGGTCTCTGGTATCACCAACAATCACAGGCTTTATATAAATAGAATTACTAGGCAGCTACAACGGATAAGAACTTTGTACATATGACCTCAAGAGCCAATTAGAAGAGTTGCTTTATTTAACTACACAATAAATTCGATTCAATAAAGCAGCTATACTCTTGCTCTTCCCCACGGTTTCTGACACACACCAAGTTAGGTTGCAAACACTATATCTCTTAAATTCCCCCCCTAGTATGATCATTCACACCCAGCGTCGCTAAAATGTGTATAAGAGTAATTCCTATATCCTTTAACAGCAAAAATAATTTACATAATGGCGACGTAAAAGCTAAGTTGCCGGTTCGCAAATGTCAAAAAAGTTACAATGGCAAACAAGTAGGACAGACCAACGAAAATGGTCAAGGTTGGACATCATCAGTCAAAAAATCTTTTCCAAACAAGCAAATCCATTGATAACCCGGCTAGAAAAGCTATTAGATGCAAGCAAGTATATATTACCTCCACAATACAAATTCGTACGTGGTAATACATATCACGGTCATTATTTCAAAAATGCCGCTAGATTAGTAAGCAAAAGCAGCTATTACAAAAGCTTCACTTCTCTGAAAAAAAGTTCTAACAATACGAACTATCCCATATAAACGACTTAAACTCATGGGTTCAGTTGTGGAATATGAATCAATAGCAATACACTAACAACAAAATTTCACCAGACGCAGTCGAAAATTAAAATACTAGTTTACTATTAAAACCCGTCCCAGCAATCACAGAATCTAATTTTAAAATACATTAAAGTACCAAAAGCTAAGTTGAACTCCAATTCTAGCACAAACGCAAAGGCTACTTAAATTAATTACAAACTTTAGCACTATAAATCAAATGAAAATAATAAATATCCACAAACGAAAAAAATCCTTAATTATGAACAGATAATCGGAAGATCCACTGCATAAATTTGTCAAAACCATAGTATTAGAAAATCTAAAACGTTGGCTTACAGACAAAACATGAACTTTGAAGATTCAATGGCGAATGATTATTTTATAAAGCTAACATAAGATTAAAAGCAATATCATGACCTGTACAAATAAATTCAATCAAGCTCAAATGACATCATCCAGGTGACAAATAAAAGACGATTTCAACATCTGACCAAAGGGTTTATTCATCACCAAATTGAGCTTATTTGCTGACAAATGTATATACAAGGTCCAGCTCCATTTAGCGCGACTTGTGTCGGAACTTGCATCCTATGGATAAGCGATAGTTATTTAATCAAAAACATACCAGATGTAAGCTTGGCCTTGCCACCAGTTGGTGTGCAGAGGATTCTATCGCAGCCAGGACAGACAACAGCGGTCTGCGCGTGACTAAAAACTACTTGGATTTTCATACAGTCACCGCACTTCACATCCATAAAGTAGGAGTTTGGAGCGGGAACCAAACGCTTAAGTTTACACTTTCGCTTCTCTTGAGCCAAAGTAGGATGAAGTAAATCTCTCGCCAGCTAACAAAAAGTATAAAAACATTTCTATAAAATGAAACAACTGATATTCCAGAGTGCAAAAAAAGCACCATAAACGCACCATGTTTCGTAAACGAGCCGATCTCAGAAAGTGACATTTTTAAACACCATTAAGTAAAAGGTAATGAATAAAATGTCTTAAATTCAAAATATTTTCTAAAATGTTTTATAAAAAAATCTAGAACTATATTTTTAACCAAAATATAACTAACTGAAAAGTATTAGAAAATTTATCATCGGATACATGATTACTGGATGTGCATCATAACTAGTATTAAAATTTTATTTATGTTGTCAACACTTTTTAAAGTAGGGAACTATTTTTATGCAGTTGTACATTTCTAATAGACCTAATTGAATTAGTCAAATATCCCCAGAAATGCAATATTTGTATTTGATATTGGTTTGAAAGATTAGACATATTTAGTTGACATAAGCCATGTTAGTTCGAAATATGAAAGTTAAAAATAATTGCTTATCGGTATTATAAAAAGATCCTAGTAAAATATTCCAATTTTGTGCATTATTTGTTGTTCCCCACCTCCCTAATTCTTGATATAGTAACAGCCCATGTACATCTAATCTGCTCAGTAAAAACCTTCAGAAATAAGGAGTACAAATTAGAAAAAAATTATATTTACTGAAGCATACACTATTTGTAAAATAATTAATTGCCTGCAATCTTAATAAATAATAAGATCTTTTAAATTCGTAAGGAGATTTTTAGTAGTCTCATCTAAAAATTATCATTTTAAACAGAAAAGTCGACAATATATTATATTATAATTCAGGGTTGTGCGATAGACTTACCTCCACGTGATACACACTGGGCAACGCATACTCATACGGCAAAAATGTCTATTTACCGGCAATTGACTACTGACTGCATACTACCATCACCCCACTATATATCATATTTGACTACCCCACAGTACTCACCTTACCTTTTCTCTGCCTTTGTGTCATTCTGCCTATTTTATACCTGTGAATCACTCTTATGTTCCTCCTCCTCTCGTCTTTTTTTCACTATGATATTCCTTACTCACTGTGAAGCCAGAAGACAACTAATGGGCTAATGATAATTATCTAGACGCCTGTCGTTTGAAATAAATAAATATAAATATTATTATTCAATGCCTGACTTGTTTCAAGAAATTCTCTTGCACACATAATATTATAAAATTAATATCCAATCAAAATTTTGCAATACTTAGAATTTTGCCATAAAAGACTAATATTTTCAAAAGCAGTTAGTGCTCTCTTTTTTAATTTCTCCAAATTTTCAAAATAATACCGGTATATTCATTGTAATGCGCTTTTTATCTTGACATGGTTGAGAAGGTGTGTTGATATTTATTTTCATCCTTTATTTGAGTAAAGCGAGGTTTAAGCAATAAAACTATTGTGTTTCCCAAATTTTTATTAAAAGAAGTTATTGGCGTATGCGGATGATTTTTGGAAGAAAAGTAATGGGTTCTTTGAATACATTCCTGCAGATGGAATATACGTAGATCTTACTCAACCTAGTCTACTTTCTCACCAGCAAATTACTCATATTTTTCAAAAAAGAGGATTTATATCTCTCGTAAGTGCTCTTCATTTACGTTTTATTGTTAATCGTTTCTGGTATATGTTTAAGTCTCACTTTTCGCTTATAAAACTTCAATTTTCCGGTTCCATGTTATTGGAAATGAATGTTAAAATTATGCTTTTCTAGTGTGAGCGATTCATTTTCCACACGTTGTTCTTTGCTTCGTGGTTATTTACTTTTGCCTCTTTACTTCAGACAATTTGTTAATTTGCTTTCAAATAGCTTACTCTCAAATCGTTATAAATGAGATAATATCCTCCAACTTAGCAACTGGTTGTCATTCTTATAATTTGTATTTTCTTTCTTTTAATTCAATTGTTATCCTTTTAAATCGGTTTGGCAGGGGTTTGGGGTCATTTGATAGCACTTGGTTTTTAATTATCATCCTATTTCTTTCGAGTTATATTTTGAATGCAGCACTGAAGAATATCGGTTTCACATTTTTCTTTCATTAGTTTGTTACTATTTCGAAATTTATGCCTCATTGAAGGTTCTCGCATTCGAATCTTCATTACAGAATATGGTTATAATGGTTTCTTTAATTTTACTTATCGCTTGTTGAGTTTTAATTCATCGCCTCATTTGGCACTTTGATTTACTCAGTTTATTCATTAAAACCTTTTTAAATTAAGTAATCCTACCTTCCTTCCTCCCTTTAGTTACCTACTGTAGGATCGGATAGAGATTCTCTTATAAAAGCATACATTAAGTACATCCAACCGCTTCCTTGTCGTGATGACCAAAGTACCAATAAGTCGCTCTCTGCCCAAGAGCTGTCCAATCGACTTCAGGTTCAAGCTTGCCAATCAACAGGTGCGGCAGTTCACCGATCACGCCTCAACTCTTCCCTGAATATTTCTAAAAAGCCAAAAGAATGCGATCTTGACAGTTTAATAATTTTTCATAACCCCAATTGGCCAACTAGTGGTGAAGCCACAGTGGAGTCAAAAATCAATGAGAATGGGAAGAGACCAATCCCCCATTCTGAACCTCATTCCCCCAAAATCCCTCCCTCCTCATCTTCTCTCTCACAGTCCCCTCTCAAACGACCCAAAATCAATCGGAATTTCGAGGGTCTTGAAAAATTTTTACGGAAAAATAAATTTTCTTGAAATTTCAGCTTGTCTTTTTACGTCAGATTGCGAAGACGAATTATATCTCATGCCATTGAGTGACTTCGCTATCCATATAAAATAAAAGGACATGTGATGTGAAGTATAGAGGCTTTGAATAAAAAATTCCATTATGATGATTTTTTCTATTGCATGCTTTGATTCATTACTTTTGTTTTTGTTCCTTTAATTACTGGTAATGTTTTCGTTAGTGCGCATTTTCACTCTCCGCATTTCCTTACCTAGTTTATATGCAATTTTTGTGCGTATCGACGTCTAAATCCGTTGGATGTACTTCTCAGTAAGCTTCATAATTTTTGTCCTAAATGGAAGACATGCTCTGATTGTCTAGTAGCCAATCAGCACGTCTGTTAGTTGAATTTAAGCTCTGCTCAGGTACCAGACAGCATTAAGTATATGTAAATTTAATTTAAGTTATGGATCAAGAAACTAAGTTCAAGGTCAATGGGGTTCTAGCCCAAATTCTAGAATGGCGACATCGTTATTTGACCAACATCCTTTTAGGCGGAATTAAAAATTGAGATCGGTCATTCCAATCACTGAAAATAAAACTGATAGACAGTAAGTTCGTTGACAAGAATATGCATTTATTAGAGAGAAAAGTTTAAGTCGTCTGAGTCAGTGATGTAAGAGCTAGTTTGCTTGAGGCATTTTATTCGAGCAATGAATTAGTTCAGTAATTTTTTGCTCCATAGACTTAGTGAAGCGAATTGGACCGTCCTATTAGCCAAAGTTATTTATTTATTTATATCAATTGGCAGGCGTTTTGATAGATATTATTTGCCATTTAGTTGACATCGGGCTTCACAGAGAGGAGGAGGAACATCAAAGTGACAAAAAGTCGAGAGAGGGCGGAAGAGTGTTTCAAAGACATAGAAGAGACAGACAGGCAAAAAGGCAGAGAAAAGGAAAGATGAATACTGTGGATTGGGTCGATTACGGCATACAGTGGGGTGGTGGTAGTTTGAGGTCAGAAGTCAACTGCCAGTTAATGGACTTTTTCGCCGTATGAGTACAGTTAACTGCCAGTTAATAGACTTTTTGCCGTATGAATATAACGAAAGCCGAGTGATAGACTTTTTCGCCGTATGAGTACACGTTGTCCAGGGTGCACCACGTGGAGGTAAGTCTATCGCACACACCCTATTAGCCAAAGTTAATCAAATCTTGTTGAATATTCTGATGTGTAGATGTGCACCAATAGGCATCGAAAAAAAACAACCTCTGCCCTCGAGGATAGTCAGTTGCTACGTTTTCGAAAGTAAAATTTAACTCTCCGCCGACTGGGCTTCTGTGTTTAGGGTACCCAGAGCCTACCGACACTGATATATTTTGACTATTGTACGCAACATTTCAGTAGTTATTTTGAACTACCATTTGCTAATAGTAAACCTTCCCATTGAGACTTCTTAAATTAGCGGTTTGGGCCTCAAAACTCAACACTACCGCGTACTCGACTGATCGATTTGTTACTTATTTCTAGTTTGGATTCCATTTTCACAGAATACTTTCTTCAAAATGAAAAAAAAACAAACAACTCCAGACCTCTAACCATTCACTTATTCAAAATGTGTAGATATGAAGATACCAAAAAATACAAGATATTGTTATATTTCACACCACAGATTAAGCTTTAACAGCCACCGAAGGGATGGTGAAGAGGCGTTGTTCAACTTCATCATAATCAGGATCGAATTTATGCAGACGAACGTAACCATCCTCACCACCAGTTGCAAATCTGCAAAGATTGACAATTTTAATATAGCCCAAGTAATGTAATTAGAAGTTATTTTGTAAACGAGACTTACCCACTACCATCGGGATTGAAGGCAACAGAGTTAATGGGCCCGAAATGACCTTTGACGGTTCCAAACTCCTCACCGTAGATCATGTGGAAGAATTTAGCGTCAAACTTTCCAGCTGCCCCCGCAGTAGTTGTGACTTCATCCGCTTCTTGGCCACCTCCGAGAAGGACCTAATTAAAAAAATCGATAAAAACTATTTAATTTCGCGGTTAAATAATAAATAAATATAAATAATATATATATATATATATATACTAGTCGGCGTAAATCTTGATCATATTGACATAAGCATGGTAATATCTAGAAGTTTATACGTATCTACGCTTACACTAAACAGATAGTATTGAGCATGAATACTAATACAACGAGTGAAAAATGCTTGTAAAACCACAAAACACATGCGCGAATAAGCAAAACAAGACATTGCAAATACTCTATCGAATTTAATCAACAATTCAATGATACCCATAACTGCGAAGTAAAACCATTTGGAACTAAAAGTGAGTTATGCATTAATACCAAAATAGTGAGGAAAATTTTCATAATGGTCAATTACGCAATAATGCAAATAAATAATTCTTGATTAAAATTAACCGATACACAAAGCGCAAATCAGCACCTTCTAATGCTAAAATCATTAAAAGAAACTGATATCGTGTAAAGTCATTCTGTAGTCTCAACCTTAGGCAAAAATACGAAAGGAAAAACCATAGCCGACCATTACTAAAAGCACTGAACATTCCATTCAATATAATAATACAATAATCAAAACAAGGTCAAAAGTCATCAAATCACAAAAGTGAAAGACTGCTTTGATACATTCGCCTCTGACCCAACGTCCTACTACTTATCTCCCCTATATTTCTAAACGGACTTAATGTTGACTGATTCAAAAAATGATCCGTCATTTAATTGACAGAAAATAAAATGCGAGTTAAAATAAGATAATTCGATTGCAAACGTACGTGAGGTCGATTCGGAGACATCGCGGCTGAATTTACAGGACGTTCACCCGTGTAGGTTCGAACACAATCGAAATCGTAGATACCAAAGAGCTAATGGTGATCAATAAACTCATTAATTATACGACAAAGTCACAAAATAAGGAATGAAACTAACCTTGGCCGTGTGGTCTTTCGAAGCAGTAAGGAACATTGTTCCATCAACATGCTTTTGAATATCAGTGATATTCTTTTTATGTGCTTCAATCTTCTTAACAGACCCTTCCTTTCTCAGTTCGATAACTTCGAGAATTCCGTTATCCTTTCCAACGATAAAATTGTCTTCCAAATCACCCCAAATACCAGCAACGATCCGCCTTCTTTCGGTGCCCGGAAGATTAAAGAGGGATTTGCTACCATTCATCTATTACGAAAATGAAATATTTAGACAATAGAGGGATACACACCTGATTCTTCTCACGCGTATCAATGACTCTAATTTCACCATTGGCATTTTTAAATGGTTCAACAGCGAACAAGATGAGATTTCCAGAGTATGAGAACTTACAAACACGAACCGATGCCTCCAGGGATAAGTCATTAATTTTCTTGCCTAGGCAAAAATATCATAAAATAACAAAACAAACCATTAGAAACATCCCAAAGCTTCATCGTATAATCACCAGAACCAGATATTAGTCGAGTAGAAGTCCAATCAACATCAATACTCCATACTACGCCATCATGGCCGTTAAAAGAACCCAATCTTTCACCGTTTTGGCTAAACCAGACATTTAGTATTTCATTTTTGGCGGCAGTAAAGATAAGATCACCATCCTTGTTATAAATTATTTGAGTAATTGGACGTTCGTGGCCACGAAGACATATCGGTCTCTAAAAAATCAATTGATCAAACAGAACGCGTACTCACCATCGTGAGAAAACGAAATTGGTGCAAATTAATTAATACTCTAAAACAACCAATTTATAATTCCTTCGGAATGCCTTATTTCTAATACTAAAATTAATTTTTAATTTTTAAAAATTATGAATTAATATTCTATTTTGAGTGATTTATAGGATATGGGCATATAATTTTGATTGGATGCTGTTTCTTCGAGCAGAAGATGCATGAGTAGGTAGGGATGCTGGTCGGTCTTGTGATGCTGCGTCCATGGCGCTGGTTTGCCTGCTTTGGATTATTTCTTTCTGAATGCTTTTTAACTTCGTTGGCTCTTCAAGCTGTATATGTTAAGACTACAGATGGCACACTTAGGGGCTTTGCATCGACAGTTCTAGAGAAGCCTATTATTACATTTTTAGGAGTACCTTTTGCAACTCCTCCAGTAGCTGACTTGAGATTTAGACCGCCATTACCCTCGAAACCCTGGAAGGGGGTAAGGGATGCAATAAAACCGGCTCCTACTTGCATCCAACCACCTCCAGAAAAATGTAAGGTTTTTAATTTTTGTCCTTTTTTGGGTAAATGAAATGAAAGATGCCACTCTTGGGTACGAAAGTATTACTTAGAATCAACCCAATTTTCGTAAACCAAAGTTAAATAATTAGCCTTATTATAACATTTCTATATTTCCACCTGCATTTTCAAGTTTAAAGTTATATTGAATGGCATTTTCTCGACAAATCTAACGTTAACAGAGATATAACTCAGACACTTAATATTTTTAAAGAGCTATTCCAATCCTTCAAGGTTTTTTGATATATTCAAATACTTACTTTCGGCACTATTTCGTATCTATTCTCATAACGAAATTTTGATTATTCTTTTAACGAAGTACCATCTGCTGCTTCCCAATGTGCAAGCTTGATCTCGAATATTTTAACGTGAAAGAAATCTAATTTGACTTCGAACTCCTTCAAGTATTTGAAGGAATAAATTATTCTGTCTTTATTGCTTTACCGCAATACGTCAATTTTACTGAGCCCATTTTGAGGATTTTAAACTCTATAAACATAAAAATAAAGACCAGAATAAATAGTTTTATTTCTTTTAAGTCTGGTTTGAATCGTACCATTACTTAGCCATTTTATGGTCTCAATTTGCCCGAGTATTTCTTGAAGTTATAAAAGACCTCAATGGCCATTATAATTTCCTGTGGAAAAGCAACTTCCTAACCATTTGCCAAAACGCGTCTTATCGGTAGACCCATCCTGAGTTCTTCATCTGACGAGATCGTTCCGCTTAATTGACCAATCAAAATACAGCTTATTGAAGCGCGCATACTCAAGGTTTAAATGTACGGCCGCGTCTGCTTATCACGAGGGAAGGAAGGAGTGGGAGATATTGATTATCTTCTTGTCGTCTAATGATTCATCTGGTTTCCTCATTATAATTAAGAAAATATTAGACTGTTGATTATCTAAAACAAATCGATGGGTGCGAATTTTTGATTGATTAATATCTGAGATAAAAGTGTCTTCTATTATCCATATACTACCTGTGGGGGACATTTAGATTTTATTTTAAATGATACTTGCTTTATAATTTGACGATCTGACATTTTTAATTAATAAATTCAAAAACATTATCAAGAAATGAAAATAGAAAGTGCCTATTTTAACTATTGAGAGCTTGCAAATATAAATATAATGTTGCATTGATGATTAAGTGGGTAATTACGAGAAGATTTACAGAATAAAATCACATAGAAACCCGAATAAATGCCTTCCTTTGTATTCACTAATAAAACGTGGTGCTTGGTTCTTATACATAAGCGAAGTGGACTTATTTTATCGGAATGTTGGATTTAGCTTGGTAAGAAAGGCCGTTTGGAAGTGGATAAGAAATTTCTTTCTAATCAAAAATTTCGAAGGAAGATTTTAGATAGAAACCGTCTCTGATATTTGATAAAAGTTCTTGAAACATACTGCGCACACAATAAATGTAAAGTGAATAAGCCGTTGATGCATAAGGAGATATGGGTAACGTGAAACCTGTTAGGTATTTTAGCAGAAATAGCAATGAGGGCATGGGGATAGGACCTTGGCAGCATTAATAAGTAAATGACAAACGGACGTCAGAGAGGTTTAGAGACGAATTCAAGTTATTGGCAAACAGTCTGCAAATCTGTAAACCAACCTACTGTTTCTCAGCCGTTTAATTGGAAGAAAACTTCAATAAATCTACAAAATGGCGTCATTTTAAAACCGATACCTTAATTTCCTCCAAACCTACCATGATTTTTGAGTCTGTTTTGTCAAATGGTGCAACGTGTTCGCAATATTTGTCGGACAGATTGGTGTAGGTATTATTGGGAAAGAAAGGAGCGTTGAATTAGATTATATCAGTGCTAAAAGCAAAAAAATTCTCCATCTGGAGCAGTAATCGTTGTATTTTTACACTTAATGTAGTGGATAGGCTTAATTTTCATTCGTACTTCTTATATTAAAAACAATATAATGGACTTTTTGTAGTATTCACGGGAGCCTTGTTCTAGTGTTTCTTGATTTTATAACAGTGGTGCTACTTAATACAAAATTTCAGGGCAGCAAAACGATCCAATGACGCGAGTCTGGTTAAATACGACAGAAATGAGTGAAGATTGCCTCTACCTCAACATCTGGACAAATGCGATCGATGGAACCAGAAATCAGGTGGATGAGGATATATGGACAAGTCGAAAACGTAGAAGCAAAAATGCCATGCCCAATTTCCAGAAACTTAATGGCTGCCCGGTCATGGTCTGGATACACGGAGGCAACTTCGTGTCAGGTTCTGCTAGTCTGGAGATATACAATGGAGAAACTTTAGCCAGCGAGGTAAGAGGAGAGGATTATAGCCTTTCTAATGTTACTCAGAATAGAATCCGAACATACCACAATTCACACAATCTTCTTTTTAAGACTTTTTATAGCCTTATACGAAAAAGGCAAAAGGAATTTTTGTGTTTACCTTATGACTGCTCTCATTTGAGAATGATTTCCTAGGTGAGGGATCTACAGTACTGATATAATTGATCCAACGCATGTTAACTTTATTTACACTGTGAGCTAAAAAAACCGAAATATAACTGATATGCTTAAAATTTGAAACTTTGCAGGAATTTGGTGGCTCTCTGTCAACGACCAACGAACTAGAAGGGAATATGCGTCTGATGAATAAAATTAAGCTTAAAATTATGAATGCCAATATAACAAGAAGTCAAAGGAGCATTGACCAGTGTGTTGACAAGTATCTATAAACGAAATACTGTTTATTTCAGTAAAGAAACGGATGGTTTCAGTCTTTGTGTTCTGACCTAATTTCCATATCGCATAAACGACATCGAGCCCCACAGTGGAGATATTGGATTTAGATTAGGTTAAATTGACCAATTGAAATGTAGCTGAACTTAGACATTCTTTTATGATATCATTTTTTCAAATATGCTTTAAATCAGGCAAGTGCTTTCTAAGAGTATATATATATATATATATATATATTTCAAACGGTGGGTTTAGCTGACTTAGGGTTTCAAAGTGAGAAAAGTGGAGAGGGGAACAGAAGAGTGATTCAAAGATGAAAAAGAGATAGACACAAAGATGGGAAAAGGGTGAGGTGAGCACTGTGAATGTAGTCGAATATAATATACAGTCGGGTCATGGTAGTTCGAAGTGAAAAGTCAACTGCCAGTTAATAGACTTTTTTGACGTATGAAAGTACGTTTAGATTTGGTTAAATTGACCAATTGAAATGCAGCTGAGCTTAGACATTCTTTTGTGCTCTCGTTTTTTAAATATGCTTCAGAACAGGCATGTGCTTTCTTACAGAGTATTAATATCAATATCATAATATAATAAGAATATAACAATTTTTCCACAGAGCGTGCTGACCGTCATTTTTCTAGCCACCCGTTTATGCTTAAAGAGAGGTGTAAAATAATAATGTTAAGCCCTCAAACATGTCACCTCTATGGATTTAAAATCTAACTACGCTAACAGCCTCTCTTGCCACGAAGGAAGTATGCATTGGATCGATTTAGAGCTCTGGCTCGAGCTGTCATTAACAACGGAGATGGAAGTAGCGTAGGAGTTTGACGGCTACATTTCACTCACTCTTTTTTTCTGGTGCTCCTTTAGCCTACCTTATACTTTTAGCCTCATATCCCCGTTCATTCTACCCCCCCCCCGCCCTCTTTTGTCTTAAACCTTCATTGTTAAAGACTATTTCGACCAACGAATCATTTAGAATCAATTTGAAAATAGAATAGCTCAAATGGCTTATTAAAAGACCTGCTAAATCCTCTTTTCACTTGTTCAGCATGGTGTCATTGTGGTGAGTATCCAATATCGATTGGGACCGCTTGGGTTTCTCTCACTAGGAACGCCTGGGGCACCTGGAAACCAAGGTCTCCTTGACCAAGTTGAAGCACTTCAATGGATCCGTCGAAACATCGTTTACTTTGGAGGCAATCCAAAACAGTGAGTGCTTAGGATAAGATATTAATAATGTAACTTCTTTGGAAAAGGTGACTTTTGCTATTTACAACCGACATAGTTTATTACTATAGCCAACCTTGACGTTGGTATTAAGAGACACATTGGCATCTTCTTGCTCATTTATCCTACTATAGCTTAGAAAGAGAAAAATGACATATTTATCTTTCTACGCTCCCGGATGACAGTTGCGGTAAGAATTGGTCAATGCGCACATCCACCATTTCAGCTGTCAATGTTCACAGAAGCACACCCAGCCCAGCCATATGAAAAATTAGCTGCATTGGTTAGCCTTGGACAGAAGGGAGAAGGGTGGTGAGAAGGGGTGAAAATTTCTCATTAAAACTACTTAGAAATCGATGCAAATGTCTGCTAGAACTTTCTTTAACGATTTTGGAAAGCTTATTTACATAATTCAGTAAACAATAGTTGAGTTTGTTTAAAAGCCATCTATTGACAAATTTGACCTATTTCCGCTCTATACTTGCATGATCTTCATCAAGGTAAACAGGATGGGAGGAAGACAGAGATTCCTGCATGATCACTAGTTTTTTGGCTGACATAAATTAGTCCCTCTTAGTGTGAGTAAATGGAAAAAAGCGCGCAATTGTAAAACAAAATTTCAATGTGCTGAAAAAGCTAAATGAACGAATAGAGAATTTACTTAAAGGAAGAAAAGTAAGCCGTAGACAGAACTGAAGGAAAGACAGTATGCGGTGGGCCAAAACCAGAGATAGGTCTGTAAACCCAATAGGTAAATATTTAAAATTGGCCAAAATAAATCATTCGCGAACACCAAAAAGGGATAACAGCTTGGCGGTAGTGAAATATCTGCACAATAATTAAAAGCTAGAAATGTTTTTGGAATTCCAACTCGGGCAAGACGCAGAAATTTCCCTGCATCTTACTCTATTTCTTTAACTGGCAAGGCGAAGAGATTGTTGGGTTGATAATTGCGCGAGTTCATTGTACTGCAAGTGACTAAAAGTACAACATTTCTGTTCGCCTTCAATTTTCAATTTAATGTAACCGAAAACCCTGCCGACCTCTGCGAAAAAGGTAGTGAAAGGAAGACTATTCTTTAAGAAACTAAATTTAATAACGAGAATTGGATTTACTGGTGAAGATTGGCTGTGGGGTTAAGCAAAAGGTGTGGAGATAATTACTTTATTTGTGGTCTATTATACACAGTTTGCCAGCGATCCGAATCATGCGAAATGGAGCTTATAGAAGCTCTTGGATATATCGTGCGTATTCTATTTCATTTCTCATCACTTATAACGTTAAATTGTCGTAGCCGACGAAGCGTTCTACAAAAAGAAGTAATTTTTGTCCCAAAACTCACTCGTTCCAACTTAGAATAGGGTAATCCACGTGTGTATTCAATGAGTAATAATATCTTTTTATTACTTGTAGAATAACACTCTTCGGTCACGGGGCTGGCGCAATCAGTGCTTCTTTGCATCTTTTCTCGCCCATTTCGAGCAATCTCTTCCAACAAGCCATTCTGCAAAGTGGATCTCCATTGGTTTGGTGGGCTGTTGATGGTGCCCAATCAGCTATCAATAAGGTTAGTGCTTCTGCATTCTGCGGTAAAACCAGCAACTCTGGGCTTTGAGTGTTTTGCACTTATATAAAGGACTTTGAAGATCAATCTAGTCAAGTTTACAGCTTTTGGAGAATGGGTTCAGATTCTTCCTATTTTTATAATTTAATCTTT